GAAAACATATAAATATCAAAATGAAATCAACATGATGATATCGGTTTAGAAATACCACATGTGGAAACCAATTTGATTTCTACCACTTGCAATAAGTGGTGAATATTCGAAGTATGATGCTTAACTCCGGGGACTCCATTTTCCTTGCAATGAGACTACTACACACATGATAAGCATAAAAAGGTGTTAGTCTCAAGGCATCCAACTTGTAGAGTAACCTCTCCCTAAATTTGTGCACACAAGTATGGAATACTTGTAGAAAACATACACATTGATTTTAGCATGAAAATACCACTTGAAAGATGACATCACATGAATGTGAGAGTCATTTTCGAAGGCGATATTCAGGAGAAATTATCTACAATTTGGACTTTGACACATATTAGATGAATAATTGTAAGACAAGCTATGTGCCGTGCTCCTAAATAATTTTAAATCATATAGGTTTGCTCCAAGGGTTAAGAATAAAACCGAGCAAGCCTACCATAAGATATACCTAGTGTATACATGACAAAAGATATAAGCATGTAAATGCAAACATAGACATGGAAAGTAACTAGATGCTTAAAGATACCAATTTGTAAGAAATACCACTTGTAGGAAATGCAAATTGATACTACTTGAAGAAAATTGAATCTAGTTACCTAACATGGGAAGGGGAATTTGGGTCCATAGTATTCACTAACCCACTTGGCAATGATTTTGTCCATCATGATGCACCCATACTTTGCCAAGTCGCCGAATTCCCAAAAGTCCATTGGACTTCTTACTTTCCTTTCGAGATCCAAACCTTCTTGGTGCTCTTCATATTGGAAATGATCTCCTTGGGCACCCAAAAGCGTTTGACTCCATTGTTGGCTTGCTTGTTCACCTTGATAGCCACCACCTTGTCATTTTTCTTCTTCTTTAAGAGATAGGGTGTGGAGGCCTTCTTATCCACCTTGTTGGTGTAGGTGTTGGAGAGCTTGCTTGTTTGTTTTTTCTCTTTCTTCTTCGCTCCTCCCTCATTCTTTACCTTGCACTCATAGGACTTGTGACCTTCCTTGTGGCATACGTAGCTAACCACGGTTTATCCTTCATCAAGCTTCTTCACTCCCTTGATGGTATTATCTTAATGAAGTTGGGCTTGCTTCGCCTTGCCTTTCACTTGAGTCAAGTCCTTGGTGAGGCAAGCTACTTCTTGCTTGAGTTGCTCATTCTCCTTTGCAACCTCTTGTGTGCATGTATCTATAACAACTTTCTCAATATAAACTTAGTTGCACAAAGATGAGTCTAAACATAAATCATTACAAGAAGTAGAGGCATCCTTTTTAGACTTGTTAAAGATAGAACTTTTCTTTTTAAATGCCTTGGTGGGGTTGTACTAACTGCTTCAAGATTAGCAACTTTATTTGTTAGCTCATCACAATGTTTGCACATGGTTTCCATTTTAGCAAGCAAACTTTTATAAGCATCTTGTGAGCTAGCTAACTTTTCTTTTAATTTATTATTTTTCTTTACAAGTTGCTCATCATTGATTGTGCATGCATTTGTTGTTGCACTAGCCTCAAGTTTCTCAATTTTAGTAGATAGTTCAACATTGAGATTTGCAAAGTTCTCATATTGTTCAAGCAAAGTTTTGTATGCTTCTTGTGAATTATCTAGCTTTTCTTTTAATTTTTCGAGCTTCTTTTGTTGACTAGTGCAAACTTTAACATAATTAAGATTTTGTTGCATAATTTTATCATAAGAAGGCATTCCATCATCACTCTCACTCTCACTAGAGAATGAGCTTTCGTTACCTCGTGCCATATGGCACACACGAGAAGAGCTTGATGATGAGTGCTTTGCGGCCTCGCCTCTTGTGATGGTGTTCTTCTTCACTTGAAGAATCATCCTATAACCTTATTGATGTGTGGGCTTGTTTGGATAAACTTCCACAAAGTGCCCCAACTCGCCGCATCCATAGCATCCTCTCTTTCTTTGCTCATTTCTTTGATTGGTAAAAATGAGATCTTGGATTTAGATGGGCACACCCTTGACATTGAGCCTTTGGATCATCTTCTTCACTTTGTTGATTAGTTTGATTGATTCTTCATCAAGTTCGGAGGTGGAGGAGGAAGATTGATCATCTTCACTTGAATCTTCATCATCATCATCATCGTCCTCATATTCTTCTTCATCTTTACTTGAGGAGCTTGTGCTTGAGCTTGTCTCAACTTGCTTGCCCTTCATCTTCTTTTTCTCGCTACATGCGAGAGCTTTGCCTTTGCTCGATGAAGAGGCTTCTTCTTGACCCATCTTACGTGACATTTCAAATGCCACTATCTTGCCAATGACTATGGCCAGGGTCATGGTGCTCAAGTTCTCCATGTTGTGAAGGATGGTGATGATGCTTGCATATTTCTTTTGTGCTAGCACAGAGATGATCTTCCTCACGATGTCCGCATCATCTAGCTTTGTTAATCTTATTGAATGGAGCTCATTGATAATTAGATTCAAACAAGAATACATATCACGAACAAGCTCATCATCATTCATTGTAAAGGAATCATAATTTTGTTTAGCTAGACAATATTTTTACTCATGGACATTAGATGTGCCGTCATGGAGCTCTTGGAGTTTTAACCAAATTTCATGTGTCGTATTTAAAGTGAACACTTGGTTAAACACATCCATGCTAAAAAATTCAAATAAGTAATTCTTAGCTCTAGCATTGAAATGTATTTTCTTTTCTTCACTCTTTGTGGGTTTATCGGGATTCTTAATGGGTTTCATCCCGTCACGAGTGACTCACCAAACTTCTAAATCAATCACCTCAAGGTAGCAAGCCATTCTAGCTTTATAATTGGGGAAGTTAGTGCCGTCAAAGTACGGAGGCCTAGAGGTATCCATCCCAACCACTCTAAATGGTGTCGGCCCAACGACAGTTAAAGCAAAGGTCTAAATTGAGCCAACCGGCTCTGATACCACTTGTAGGGGACCGTGACGTCTAAGAGGGGGGGGGGTGAATTAGGCAACTTAAAATTCTAACTCTTAACTTATGGCCTCTTTTTCTAACCGTAGCAAAACATATGCAAAAGATAAACTATCTAAATGTGCAACTACAGTTTTGCTAGTGTGTTGTTATCTCTACCGTAAAAGGAGTAATACAATCAATGGAAGTGCGGAAGCTAAAGAGCAAGGTAGAGATATGCAAACTCCTATCGACTACTCCAGTATTTTTACTAAGGTATCGAGAAGCACGCAAGCTTCCCCCTAGTCCTTGTTGGAGCCCCTCGTAAGGAATCCATCGCAAGGGCCAAGTTCCCGGTCGGGTAACTCCGTGGATAGCCTCGGGCCTTTCCCACGCGCAAGTGGGTCTCCGACGCGCCTTTCGGCAAGCCTCTCTCGGATGCTCCCCACCGTCTTCACTATCAAGCTTCCGGCCGAAATGCCGCGGACCTTGTTTCCTCCGGTACACGGTGACGGCCACACCACAAACACGGTTGGTGTGATCTCACAAGACTACAAGCCCCTCCGATATACAACAATGGTGCGCGCAAGCACCAAGTGATAAGAGGTATGCAAACCTCACTAAACACTAGGTCTAAACCTAGAGCAAGCGCATAAGCGGTGGTCTAATCAACCTAAGCACTTCGCAAAGCACCTACGCTAATCACCTAATGAATCACTAAGCACTATGCAAGTGGAGATCACTAAAATGGTGTATCAACACCCTTGATATGTTTCCTCAGCTCTACTCTACTCAAATGGCCGGTTGGGGGGTCTATTTATAAGCCCCACTCAGAAAGTAGCCGTTGGGGACGAAATCCCGCTTTTCTGCTACTGACCGGACGCTGATCACGTGCTGACCGGACGCATCCGGTCGTCCCGACCGTTAGAGCCGCGATCAACTGATCGGACGCTGCTAGCGTCCGGTCACATGCCACCGCACACGTCCGGTCGCAATTTCACCGCTCTGGAACCTTTCTGTACTCGATCGGACGCTGTTGTCCTACGTCCAGTTGATTTGTCGTTTCAGCGTCCGGTCACTGCTGCTGCCGAGCCTCTTGATCGGAGCGTCCAGTCACTGTGCTACCAGCGTCCGGTCACCTCTGTAAGCTCGTTTCTTCGCGATCTTGCGTCCAGCTTGTTTTCTATTTTCGTGCTTGGACTTTGCTTGATATATTGGGTCTTCTCTTGTGCTTCTAAGGCCTTGCTTATGGTGTTGATCATCGGATCATCACGTCGCCTTCGTTCAAGTCACGTCTTGCACCATATTGAACTATAAAACAAACACTTGTAAATTCTTTAGTCCAATTTGATTGTGTTGATCATCAAACACCAAAATCTAAAATAAAAGAGACTAGGGTCAATTTACCTTGCACACGTGTCAAACCCTGGGACCAGGCCTTTAGGACGTTACTACTTGTCCCCGATCAGGGCACCTGGTGGGCCTAAGCCCCTTAAGACTCGGTTCTTTTGACCGAGCCTGAGATCAACTCTAACAAATTTTCTTTAGATGCAGAAGTGTCCAACACGGCTAAAAAAGTTTCTTAGAGACAAGTCCTCTAATTAATAGAGTTGGACATCTTTGCATGCCACCTCAAAAAACAGTGAGGCGAGCTCGAGGCAAACACCCATCTCTGTTTACCTCTTTAAAGAGATGGACATCCTAAAATGACCATGCTATTAATATATTAAAAGAAATCATGTGACTATAACTTGCGATGCGTTATCACGGTGTCTAGCTATGGAGGTTTATCCTGGGCTTAGAAAATTATTTTTCTATATTTGTTATCCTCTTTTTTTGTTTGTGAAAAGAATAGATATAGAGACGAGCTAATAAGCTAAATACTAAAATGGTCCATTGATAAAGATCATTTGGCAGACTGTTAGCGTGGGACTGACTATCTCAGTAAATCGAAAATGCCTCTGAAATGCACTAGTGCAGTGGTATGTTACGAAGCCATGTATGCTAAGAGCATGTTTAGGACAGCTCCAGCTCATAAAAGTAAATTCGGAGCACGAGATCCACCATGGATCTAGGCTCTGATTGGGACATTTCCACCATGAAAGTAGATTCATAAGCAATTATAAAAGATTATTAAGGGACTAAAACAAAAAAGGACAAGATTAAGTTGACGGAGAAGAAGAACCAAGTGGACGGAGAATATAATGAACCGGTAAGTTGCATAACTAGTATTAGTAGTGGGTAATTTTATCTAACTCCATGAAATAGGAGTTTTCGGAGTCTCTTTGAGGAGCGCCATAGATTTCATGGATCTACGAGCTAAATCCATGGTTTGGTGAATCAAACGTTTGGCTAGAAAAAGCATAATCGAAGTTGAGCTGTTTTTTTTTTCGGTACGGAGCTGTAGAAAGCTGTCCCAATCCCATACGGCTTGGCGAGATGCACATAAGTCTAGCCGTCTAGGTGGGTGTAGCTTTCTTCTAAATTCTAAAACTCTATTACTAGTTATATATATATATATCCCGTGGCTGGTCGCTGCAGGGAAACGTGGTTCTTGTACGTGGAGGCCGCACAGCCGCGCATACCAACTACCAGAACATCTCTCCGCATCCTCTGGTGCCAACTACCCAGCTATCGATATATTATTATATGTATAATAATAATGTAATATATGGAACTCCATATCACGCCTACAATCTTGTACCTGCAATACTGCATCCCTATTCCCTCCTCCCTGGGCTCGTTCAGTTCTGCTGCGGCCGGCGGCGACGTGAGCTCGCGACGACGACATGGTCTCCCTCAATTCTTCCTCTCCCTCTCCCTCTCCTCTTGCTAGCTCCACAAGCATCGATCAGACTCAGACGATCGCATCAGTACTACTCGAGCTGACGACGCAAATCAACCAAACATAATCTCTGTTCATTTTCCTCTGTCGTCCTGCCGGCAGAGCTCGGTGGTGAAGCTTGGGACGTGGGGCGGCGACGGCGGCAGCGCCTGCGACCTCACGGTGGCGCCGCAGCGGCTGGAGAGCATCACCATCCGCTGGGGCAAGGTCATCTACTGGATCTCCTTCTCCTACCGTGATCGGAGCGGGAAGCTGCACACCGCCGGCCCCTGGGGCGGCAACGGCAAAGGAGAGGGCACGGAGACGGTGAGTTCCGATCCTTAGCTTATTGCATCAATTCAATTCAGTTGTTGTTTCAACAGTCTTTTGTATCTATATCCGCACATGCATGCAGATCACGCTGGAGGCCTCGGAGTATGTAACGGGAGTTGCCTGGTCAGTGGGCCCATTCACGTTCAAGAACGTGGAGTGTTGCATCACCTCCATCAAGGTTGTGAGCAACCTCCGCAGCTACGGCCCTTTCGGCCACGGAGTAGACAGCACGCACCACAATCTGCCCGTGCTCAACGGCAGAGTCGTCAGCATGTTCGCCCGCGCAGGAGATTTTCTCGACGCCATCGGCTTCTACATCCTCCCAGCTGCCCTCCCTGCTATAAAACCTACGGTCCTTGACCAAGAAGAAAAAGAGAAGGACTCTAGCCAACACTACCGGAAACAGATCGGACACTCGGCAAACAAACTCTTTGTCGAGTGTTGCAGAAAAAAAAAACACTCGGCAAAATAATTGCACTCGGCAAACAAGCTCTTTGTCGAGTGTTGCAGAAAAAAAAACACTCGGCAAAATAATTGCACTCGGCAAAAAAGGAAAAAAAACACTCGGCAAAGTTTGACACTCGGTAAACTAAAAAAACACTCGGCAAAACTAGGCACTTGGTGAAGAAATACGTTTGCCGAGTGTAATTATTTAGCACTCGACAAATAATTTTACTTTTTTCCTCTTCTAAAAGTATGGAAAAGAAGGAAATGGGAAAAAAAAGGTTTGCCGAGTGCAGACACTCGGCAAAGTGGTGCCTTGTATAAATACGTCACTAACCCTACTTCTCCCTCATTTCCCCCAGCTCCCGTCTGGATTAGAGCGGCGACGGTGGCTCAATCCCACCCGGCGGCACCCTCTCCCCTCCACCTCGAAAGCCGGCGGCCTTCCCCAGCTCCCTTGCTGGTGCATCCCGTGGATCCATCGAGGAGGCTGCGGATCCGGCGGCATCTTCATCCTCCCCACCGACGGCACCTTCGTCCTCCCCTCTGGCTGCTGTGGGACTAGCGATGGCGGATCCGACCTCATGCGCATGGCGGCCACCTCCGACGGCATCTACACCATCCTGGCGGCGGTGGCGGCCGCCCGCCCACCTCTCGTCGCAGCGGTGCCTCCTCCACCTTCGCGGGCGGCAGCGCCCCTCACCGTAGTGCAGTCCCATGGCGGCCGTCCCCCAGGCGGTGGCGGCAGCACCCCCTCCCTTTGGCGGCGGTGGCGGCGGCCATCAATGGGTGGGCTGGACCTCCACGGCGATTGCGCGCCACTCTTGATCTTCACGGCTGTGCGGCCCCGGCGTGGACGGCCCTGGCGGCGGCGCATCCAGAGCATGGGGCGGCAGACCGCACCGCGTCGACACTCCCCTGCCGGCGGTGGAGCAGCCCAAGTGTGGACGCCCTTGGTGGTGTCGGCGAATGCATATTCGGTACACTCCTAGGCAGATGTGGCCACCACGCCCCAAGCCTGCTGTGGATCCGACGGCGGCCTCCACGTTCCCCAACGTCGGTGGTCTAACAGCTTCTAGAGGATGAACGCAGCGTGGTTGCCTGTGGCGTGGTGGCGGCGGCGGCGGGCGTGGTGGTGGCAGTGTTTTTTTATATTTTTCGAAATATTTTTTGCCGAGTGTTGGTTTAGCACTCGGCAACATCTTTGTCGAGTGCACGACAAAAAATACTCGGTAGAGACAGCTTTGCCGAGTTCTTTTTTGCCGAGTGCCGTTTGGCGAGTGTAACACTCGGCAAACGCTTTGCCGAGTGTTTTTTTGCCTTCACGGTGTGCCGTGGGCACACAGCAAACCTATGAATTCCGGTAGTGCAAGTAGAAAACAAAGAAGAAAAAGAGAAGGACGGCAACCAAGAAGAAAAGCCGGAGAAATCTGGCCAATAAAAAGAGAAGGACTCTAGCCATGAAGAAAAGGAGAATGGAAAATCACAATCATAGTTTGTTCTCTATGAGAAGGAATCATAACCCTTGCAAGTTCTCTTTGTGGGCTCTTATCAATCATCTCTTATGTCTAGTATAGACATTACACGGGGGCTCTAATCATGAATAAAGAATATCTTTTTTCTACTCTGTGCCTCTATGTTTTTCTATTTTGATCTGCTAGGTTGATTATGAGAGACGAAGAGAAAAAGGTCTCAATCGCTTGCGAGGTGCTTTACAACGCTCCGGTTCTGAATCCAGTGGCCAACTATGTTGCTATATACAATATAGATACCAACAATCAACGGTAATGCTCAGGGGTGGGCGTCTAACAGATCGGACGCCGCCTTCTTGGGCCTGCGCGGCTCACCAAGCCTACATCCTCCTCGTTACATCTCTCACGTCTCTCTCTCAAAAATATCTACCACTTGCTCGACCATCGCATGCTTTACGGCGCCGTGCGGCCGTCCGTCCGCCCACTCCGTATTTGCCACTGCAGCCATCTCCCCGCACACGCCCCCACCCTGTGTTGTTCACTTCTCGCTCTTGCCCATCACGCGCGCCCACCAACGCCTCTCGCTCCTTGCTCCTGCAGTCCCACCCACGCCGCTGGCTCCCGCGCCGTCAGGCGTACCGCGCCGCCTCTGCTGGTGCTTGTGGTGCTGTCGCGCGCATCAGGTCAGTCCCCAGTTGAGCCAAGGGCACCCATGAGCACGACCCGTGCTGGTGGTGCTCGCGCCCCAAGGCCGGAATCAATCGACCTCGATCTCCCCTTCCATATGTTGCAAATGTATGTTTTAAGTGTTTCAGATGTATATTGCAGGTGTTTCGTATGGATGTTGTAAAAGTAGATCGGGATGTTGCAAGTGTTTCAGAGACATGTTGCAAGCGTTTGTTCAAAATGTTTCATCTGTTTCACACGTATGTTTCAAGCGTTTTTATCTGGATATTGCTTATGTTTCACACCTATGTTGCATGAGTTTGTTCGAAATATTTCAGCTGTTTTAGTCTTATATTGCAATAAGTGTTTTCATGCTGCAATTTGCAAGTGTTTAATTCGGATGTTGCATATGTTTCACACAATGTTGTTTTTGTTTGTTCTAAATGTTTCATCTGCTTCAGTCTTCTGTTGCATCCAAGTGTTTTATGTTTCAGAGGTAGAGAGTCCTGGGGGGCACGACCCGGGCGCCGGCGGATAGGGCGCGGCGAGCCGTGGGCCAGTGATCCGTACGCGCACCTAGGATCCTGAGGATGGGGCGTGCTCGTCCTCATGCTGGCTCTCGGGTCTCGCCTGCCTAGAGATAGAGGAGAGGGTCAGGGGGAAGGAGCGGCGGGCGCGGTGTTTCACGCGGGCGCGTGGGTGTTCGGAGTCGCGGTCACGGAGAGAGAGGAGGGGGGCAAGGGAAAGGAGCGGTAGGCGCGACCTTTTTCGCGGGCGCGCGTGACGAAGGTGGCGCGAGTGTTCAGACAAGCGCTTTTGTTCGGAGGTTCGACCGCTCCCAAAAATCAATGTATGGACATGCCATGCTAAGTCATAGATATGTGTACCACTCAGTTCGGCCCACTATCATTTTTTTTTGCGAAGAGAGAGGAGTTTTACAATGCTTTGTTAATCCACGGGTCGGCGGGATTCCTGGAATTACCAAAAGTGGTGGAGAACACACAAGCAGACCTATAGCGAGTATAAATTTTCACATAATACGGATACATTTTTGTGCGGCATGTACTTTCCTTGTGATATTTCAAAAATGATTTAGTTGAGACTGTAGAGCAAATATGGATTATAGATTGAAAACAAATTACGTCTATCGTCTATCAAGTCAAATTCTCATAAATATGCCGTGTTTTAAAAGGAATAATTTCAAATTAAAACACAACGTTAAATCAAATTAAAGCAGCGATTAGGACACATATACCACCAATGAATGGTAACAAGAGACATGCACGTCTTTTGGTAGAGCGTCATTGTTCTCGTTGCCGCGTTCGGGACTAGCTGTGTGAAGCCTTCTCTAGAATGGGTTTAAAATTTCGGCGAAATATCGCTTTTTTTTGGTAGGGATTGAAAAAATCTTATATCGGTCAAAAATTTTCAATTAAATTCCCAAAATTATGTCAAATCGTACTAAAATAGCCCTCCATATCCTCTAGTTTTACCGAGCCTTAAATATCTTCAAGTTTATTTAATTTCCTCACTCGCATGTTCGACATCACCGGCATATGCAGCTCGCCCACCGTCAACCCGCCGTATTACCGCACATCTACTTTTGTGATATATTGTGTTATTTGGTTGGTGTTATATAAATTTATGATGCATAATCGACTGGAGATTTTTTCAATTGAATTGACAAGAATTTAAAAAAATAACAATGAAGCCGCAGAGGAAGACCCTTAATTTCAAGGAGTTCAGAGACCGTTGGACCAGCAAGATCAGTTTCAGAGTGGGCATCATCGTACGCCAAGGGATTGATCATGCCAATGAAGCTGGAGTAGTTTTGCTAGATGGACCTGCTTATGGATGCACCTGAGGTGATTACCTGTCGGTGGGCCGCTACTGCGTTCCTGAGACGAATAGGAAAATCAGCAAAGTCGCATGGCATATCTTCAGCAGTTGCGTTCGATCTCCAATATGGAAATCTCAGCAAGAGGTCGATGATGCGTCCCAGCAGCGATGTCGTTGTCGCCGTCAATGCCCCTGCTGGAAACGCGGCTCCGTGTACGTGGAGGCAGCACAGCCGTGCATACCAACTACCCACACCATCACTGTACATCCAAATTTCTGCCTTATCCGGTGCCAACTACCCTGCTAGCTATGTATCGGTATCGGCCTCTCTCTCTCTCTCTCTCTCTTTCTCTCTCTCTCTCTAATACGTTAACCCACAAACGAGTCTGTGCGTGCATTGCATTGCGCCTCAGCTCAGATACACCCAACAGCAAAGGTCGCGACGACGACGACATGGTCGGTCTCTTTATCATTTACACTGTTGATCTCCTTGCAATATCAGCTAGCAGCAGATAAATGCAATGAAATGTGAAATGAAATCCTGGGTGTGCATGCAGGCGGCGTTGGTGAAGATCGGGACGTGGGGCAGCGGCGACCACGGGAGCGCCTACGACATCACGGTGGCGCCGCAGCGGCTGGAGAGCATCTCCCTCCGTTATGGCAAGATCATCGACTCCATCTCCTTCTCCTACCGGGACCGGGACGGCAAGCTGCATACCGCCGGGCCCTGGGGCGGCACCGGAGGCGTGAGCGACGAGGTGATCACCCTGGGCCCTCACGAGTACGTGACGAAGGTGGCCGGCTCGGTCGGCCCCATCGGGGAGCTCACCCACACCATCACCTCGCTCACGTTCGTCACCAACCGCGCCACGTACGGGCCCTTCGGCCGCGGCGATGGCACGGCCTTCAACGTCCCCGTGCTCAACAACGGCAGCGTCGTCGGCATGTTCGCTCGCGCGGACCAGTACCTCGACGCCATTGGCTTCTACGTCCTCCCCTTCTGATTTTATCTTGTTTGTTCGGATCGGATCAACCCATCCACTGCACCACCGGCAGGATCGGAGCCGCGCCGGCCGGCCGCCTGGATGTGTCGTGTTTCGATGATCTATGTATGTTCCTCATCCCGTTCTGCGTGTTGGCCCGACATAGACCACAGCTATTTGGAAATGACTCTTGTGTCTTTTTCCCCGTGCTTGATTGAGTTTGATGACTTGACTGTGGATAAAATATCATTTTTTTTGCGCTAGGTATACTCTAGCTTTTTTAAAGGCCAAAGGGTATGTTGGATCCTCACATCTAAATTTTAGAGCTCTAAAAACTTTAGAGCACTTTAACCTATTTTTAAGGTCTAAAGCTCTAATGTGAAGTGGGCTAAAGTTTAGAGCTAATTTTATATCACTTTTGAAGACTTTAACTTTAAAGTTTAGAGAGGAGGGGATCCAAACAAACCCCCTTTATTGACTTATAGAGTTAACAGACATACAAATACTATATCAGGTGGCTCAAAAAAACCAAAGATACAGTGGTCTACCTAAGACATACTTTAGCTTAGCCACGCGCTCTAGCCTGACAATTTTAGAGTGCACATAGGATCCAGTCTAGCTCACATCATCTCATAAAGGTCAAGTCCTACCAGCCCAGGGCCCATAGCAAACTAACTAAGGCCTTGGGCTGAACCCGTCAACACAATAACAAGCCTTAGATGATAATTGTCTTCACTCACTATCAAAATGGTGGAGTTTTCCTAGTGTTTTTAGGTCGTAACAAAATACTACCACTAGTCACAACATATGTGAATCCTCACTAAGAGACATTTGGTAGGAAATATTTATACTAAATGTTGAATGCTAAAACACTAATAGAACCCCACATCATTAGAAGAAGTTACAGATTCTGGTCGTGACCTTATACTCCTTCCTGCACCACCGTGTGATGTGACACTAAACCTAAGAATATTTCCATCACATATCAATAAACTATTTCTATCCTCAGCCCCTAATTCCAATTCTCCATGTCATACACAAAACCATGTGACCATTTGGAGACATTCACAGATTTTTCGGTCACCATGTCACCTTTTCATCTAATATGATCTACTCCCTCCATTTCAAATTATAAGTCATTTTGGTTTTTTTAAGATATATAGCTTTTGCTATGTACATATATACGTTGTGTCCAGAGACATTTGGAGGAATCTGGAGGAATTTGTGAGAGGAAAACACTGTTCTGGATGAAAAAAGAAGCGGATCAAGCCGAGTTTAAGGGCACGCGAACGGAGCCATAGTAAAACTGATGTATGTCAAAAAGTCAAAACGACAGTGGGAGTACATACGTTCTCTTTGTACTGCTCCTATCAAGGATATTACCGGGAACTGAGGTGCCCAACTTGATCAAACTGATTCACGTTCATAACAATAGCTCAAATGACACTTATTATCACCATGCCATGGTCTTTGCTCAGAGCATGGTCCTCCGAGGGAACTTATACAAAAAGTGGCTTGTTGCTATATTGTTTATCTTGGCTTGATCTGATAGCATTTAAACCTTATGTCATACTTTTCTACGCTTGCAAATTGCATTTTGATATACTCATCCTTTTTCTTCGTCTCTCTTGCTACCTCACCCATGTGGTGAGACGATTTAGGAGTCGGAGTTCAATGAAGATGGTGTTGTTTGAGCTTGGTTAGTACTTTCCCCAATCAGCTGCATGTGAAGATGGGGTCATCTTCCACTGGAGTTGTTTAATTAAAGTATATGCAAATTTGTTTTAGACCCTCAGGCTATTTTATAATAAAGTCATGCTTTTGTAAATATAAACACTGTAATGTAATGTATTACTTCACATATATGAATAGACTGATCCTACTATACATATGTTTTTGTATTCGATTTTGTCTTCAAAACAGAAAGTGACACTAGCCTACTCCCTCTATTTTATAATATAGTGCATTCCAAAAATTTTAAGACAACTTAAGGAAATCCTCAAGTGATGCATGTACCCATAGAATACCAGTCAAGGTGTTTCTCCTCAACTTATGTTTTTCTTTTTAATAAACTTTGCCATATCTAGGCATTGACACATGTATAATACACTATATTTTAGTATAAATTTTAGAAGTCATAATACACTATAATTTAGGAAGGAGGGAGTATTGCAGAATTAATGGTCATGGACAAGTCTCACACAGCCCTTAAGCACTTTGCTCTCGCCGCATCATACAATGGGCTTCCTCAATTGCGCCAGTCAGGGCCCATGAACTTCAAGTCGGGCTTTTGGTATCCGGTGGTCTCAGGCTTGGAATAGTTTCGGTCGCCTTCTTGGTCATAGTAGGCCTTCCGGTATGCTAGGCCTAGAAGCATCCCCCAATTAATGCAGTACCATATATGCAAATACATTCTAGACTTCTTCCCTCAACTATTGCAAAAGTCAACTTTTCCTCCCTTAACTCTAAAACCAGACATAGTTCCTCCCTCATCTCTTAAAACCGGTCACTTTACCTCCTTGGCTGTTTCGTCGGTGGTTTTTCTTTTTTTCTTTTATGTTTATTTTGGCTGAATCTTTGAAAAATCATAGTAAATCACAAAAAATCATAAAATAGAAAAAATAATTGTGTTGGACTCCACATAAGTAGGTCTACACAATGAACATATGATATGACATGCTTTAGTACAAAGTCTTTGTTGTAACATTAGATCTATATTTTTTTATATAATGAATTCATAGCTGCAGTTTCTCTTGTCCAATTATGGTGAAACTTTTATGGTGGATTAATCATTGTATGCTTAAGATGTAGAAAAAACTTCATGCTCATTAGATCATATATGACTGAGTTATAGATTTATCTATTAATTTATCTAGGTTTATATGGATAAAACTATAACTCAGTCATGCATGATCCAATAAGCATGAAATTTTTGCTACATCTCAAGAATTCAACGATTAGCCCACCATAAAAATTTCCATAATTGGACAACAGAAACTGCAGCTATGAATTAATTACAGAAAAGCACAGATCTAAAGCTATAGCAAAATCTTTGTACTAAAACATACCATATCATATGTTTATTATGTAGATCTACTCATGTGGAGTCTAACAAAAATTTCATGCTCATTGGATCCTGTAATACTGAGTTATATATTTAATTTCATTTAAAAACTATTTAATAATATAAACCTAGATAAATCTATAACTCAATCATGCATTATTCAATGAGCATGAAATTTTTACTATAGCTCAAGCATGTAATGATTAGCCTAACATAAAATTTTCACTACAACTGGATCAGAGAAACATCAACTATGAATTAATTATAGAAAAACATAAATATAAAGTTACAATAAAAACTTTGTAGTAAAGCATAGCATATCATATGTTTACTACGTAGATCTACTCATGTGAAGTCCAACCCAATTGGATTTTCTATTTTATAATTTTTTTATGATTTACTATGATTTTCAAAGATTCAGCCGAAATAAACATAAAAGAAAAATAGAAAAAACACCAACGAAAACATAGGAAAAGTAGCCGGTTTTGAGAGATGAGGGAGGAACTATGTCTCGTTTTAGTGTTGAGGGAGGAAAAGTTGACTTTCACAATAGTTAGAGGAGGCAAAATGGACTTTTTCCTATAAACAACAGAAGGACAAGCTGCGGCCGATCCAAGCACGAGCGTGCAAGCCGAATGAGCGAGATAACGATCACGAAGGTCACAGGTGAAGCAATTGCAGGTTGCAGCAGGGTCTTGTGCAGCACATATCTGAACCTGGTGGCCAAGACTCTGATGAACTTTCATCTCAGCTGATACGATGTTTTGATTACTTGGCTGAGTATGCAATATGCTGGGCCATGAAGCCAAATATGCAGTACTATATATATGCAACTGAGTTTAAGTCCACTGTGGTGAAACCTGTCCACACGGCTTTAAGTCCATGACTTGGCACGGTGATCACATTTTCTTAGATTTATTCTAGGATTTAATGCATTGTGCTTTCGGTGGTAATAGATGACGTTCCCGTCGACAACGAGGCGCCTATGGTGACTTCGTCAATCTCAAGATGTGCCGGCATAGTCTTTCGGATGTGCTCATAAGGATAGGGTTTACGTACGTGTGTTTATAGAGGTGAGTGTGTGCGTGTTAAGTGTGTGCGTCTAGACTTATGTAATTCTCAAAAATACCTGCTAGACTTCTTATAAAAACAACAGACGGACAACTGGAGCCGATCCAAGCACAAGCAGTACGGTGCAAGCCGAATGAGCGAGATGACGATCACACAGGTGAGACAATTGTAGGTTGCAGCAGGGTCCTTGTGCAGCACATATCTGAACCTGGCGGCCAAGACTCTCATGAACTTTCAGCTCAGCTGATATGATGCTCACCGCTACAGCAATTATTTGTAGGGGCGGGTGACGATGGCTTGTAGAAGGGGTTTTGTCAACCGCCCCTACCACACCGTCTTTATAAATCAAGCGATTATAGGGGCGGTTCCCAAGCCGCTCGTACAAATCGATTTATTGAGGTGGCTGGTGCTACCCGCCGCCCCTATAAATGTATTTGTAGCGGCGGCTGATAACACCAGCCGCCTCTTAAAAATGATTTGTAGGGGCGGCTGTAACACCAGCCGCCCCTATAATTTTCATTTGTAGGAGCGGTTCAATCTAAAACCGCCCTAAAGTACATTTTCCTACCAAAAAAGTTCAAATTGAACCGCTCCTACGATACATTTTTCCGCTAAAATTTCTAATTTCAAAATTCAAATCTGACCAGAACATATATACGCATATATATTTCAAACATCGTATCCACAAGCACAGAATATTATATAAACTAACATTACAAATCCAATTTACAAGAACATATATAATTTATCGTTACGTAGACATAATTCACAAGTCCAATCCGTTTCACAATTCTAAACCGTTTCACAAGGTAAGACCAATGTCATATTCCATACACATTGTTATCAACGGTCTAGAGCTAGTCTTTCTGTCTCACAAAGATGTTGG